AACCTATAATACAAGAGATTTTACAATGGAACAACACTATGATAGAAGAACGATCACGTAACACAATCCTATACCTTTTACAATCATAGTTTAAGTCATTATATCAAACAATATTTTAAAAGTTATCGTACAGTAAATCATTATGTGAATAGTTTACTTCAAATACATATACGAATAAGTTAAAAATAAACAAATACAAAAATGGTGATCATCCTTAAAATTCTTAATAGTTATTTTAAGTAACTGTGTCATGTTTAAAACGTCAATACAATATATACAACGTTTAAAATACTTTGTAGCAGTACAAATGAAAGTAATAGTTCTGTTAACCTCATCTTCTAGAATCCACCGATTTTAGCAACTTTGGTATTAATATTGACAAAAATTAAATACATTAATGTGTGCATACAACAACCTAAATTACCAGATGCTTATTATCCACTCACTAAAGTAAGCGCCGCTCTGGTGGGAAGAATTCTTCTGCTTTTGACAGCACGAACTGTCGCTGTAGCGACTACGTTAGATGCCATCTTGATTTTAATCAGTTCTAATTTGGTGGCCCCCCCACTATGAAGAGATGATCATATGACATACATGTGATGAGTGGCGAATGACAAAGCGACATGATTGCAAGATTGAAGTTATCGCCGCGTATCATAACAATTCAATCAAATTAATCGCATAAAACGTTACTTATTAGGAATAAAATGGATTTTAATACAATATATACATGTTTTTGTGGAAACGTAACATAGTATTACAGGATGTTATGGAAGAGAATAGGTTAGAATAGGTTGGAACCGTAAGCGGGAAGGTCCTCTTATAACAAGGGGAAGGCTGGAGGAGGACTGAAATTGAACATATTGCAATTTCTGTAATTCTGAACTATTATGGTGACGCGACACAGGCCACAGATAGTTTTACAGTCATTCCTCACAACAGTAAACCATTCTGCCTCACGATACATATAATGTTTACTCTGTAGGGGCCCAGCGCATGCGTCGTCGTACGTAGTCGACGTACCTGCACTGGTCCACCACTTCATCTGACATTCGCTACTGCGCCTGCGCCGGAATGCGCCACTGGACGATGAATTATTTTATATGTACCTGCACCCTGCACGTTAAACTAATACAATTTCTATTCCAATTGACATGTCTGAGGACTCATTATACGTGCACGGTGATACTTAACAATTGAGCAATTAAAATTGATTTCAGTATGGTTTAAAAGAATAAATCGCCATTAAAGTTTTTGGCTGTTTTGTTCAAAGAAAAGATATGCATACATCTGTATGTACGTATGGAGTAGAAGCGTCGTGCACCATTCAACTACTTGGCGTGAGACGCTATCGTGTCTCTTGATCCTTCAAAATTATTAGACAAAAATTACAACTTTTATCTTTAATAGTTTCGTTGATGTAAATTCAAACGTAAAGATAGTTTTTGTAGAAATCAGCAAAATTTTGAAATGTAATTATCGTCCGCATTGAATTTACTTAATATTATAGCCTTTTTGATTTTGTATTCTATGTTTGGAGTTATCTACAAAGTTATCTCATTTTATTACTCTTTGTCTCAAATGTTAAATGAAATTGAGTGCTAACTGCTTATTATTCTGTTATGAGAAAGCTTTTGTCCCCAATTAATTTATACAATGGAAGTTCTACCATATGTATCTTCTACCATATGTATCAATCTTATTCTCCAGCGTAATTTCGCATGATTCTCAATGTATATTGTATCTGTTTCCAGAAAATGTTATGATAAATTGCACAAAATCCAACTAGACCTGTTGCATCACTATGAATACTAGCGCAAGAAAATGTAAAATTTTAAAAATTGTATAGTAAATAAAATGTATTGGAAATGGTAGCATTTAACATTGGTTGGTAAAATACAAATATTCTTCGCTGTTGTATATGAACTTTAAGGGAAAGTCACGAGTCTAGGGAAGCAACAAGATATTCGTAGGGTATGAAGCAGGGACAAGAAACCACTTAGACGTTGGACATTGTCAACAGCAATTGTCGGAATTTAGAAAATGTAAGATCTTAAAAATTAAATGTATGTTAGCTTATCTAACAGATGCTGAAATATACAAAAATTAGGAAAGTAGATGATTTTGATACTTTTGATTTTGTTTATTATCGAAGCACTAGGTATTTTATGCTTGTACATTTATTTTATAACTTAAAGGAACTTTTTTTAGAATAGATTATTTAATATAAAAATCAAATTGTTTTATTATGAATCACTTAATTATGTGACAAATTATTTCTTTCATATGTCTTATTCATGTATAATTTTGGATGTTTAAAAAGTAATAAACTATAAAAGAGTCATATATTGACTATCCATCAGACTATATAGTATTAACACAGGTCGTAATTTTTCTTTCCTCGTTTCCCGTAATTCCTCGCATATCTCCTTTATATACTTTTTATGTCTTGCATGTCTGAAAAAAATCACAAATTTAATGTACACAGATGC